AGCGAGAGAGAGAGAGAGAGAATGTGTAGTGTGCGATCGTTTGATCCGGTCTAATGAATCAATGCAGGCTGAATCGTCCCTAGTACATGTATGTACCTGTCTGTCTGTATGTATAAATAAACAGATAAATATGTCGACACATATATATATATATATATACATGTGTATATATATATATATATGAATGTATGTTTGTATGTATGTATGTTTGTATGTTTGCATGTTTGTATGTTTGTATGTTTGTATGTTTGTATGTTTGTATGTATGTATGTATGTATGTATGTATGTATGTATGTATGTATGTAGGTCCCAAATTGCCGCGCAGCGCAGAGCATTGTAGCGCCCCAGCACCCGCCACGGGTGTGTCTGCCGGCTACGGCCACGAAGGACACGTTGTGCAACGTGGCCGTGTTGAGCACTGGTCTGGAGGACACACTCGCATACTACACGGCAGAGAATTTGGTGGCTGGTTTCAAGACGACGCTGGCTTTCCAAGCAGAAAGAGGCTCGTCAGGTGGCCATGTTGAAAATTGGTATGGAGGACGCGCTAGCATACTGCACGCTAGCGGCGTTTGCGGCGGGCTTCTTAAAGTCAGTGGCGTTCCAGACGTGCATCATCAAGTAGAACAAAGGCTCGTCAGGCGAGGGCATCTGGATCATCAAACTGGAAGCTGGCAACGCTGCAAGTCCTACAGAGAGGGGTTATGCACGGACGACGAGGTGTTGGACCTGATGACCTTGACTCCGGCATCCTGACTTAGCAGTTCCGGAGCAAGTGAGTGCGGAGGTCCCTACGGCCTTCATACTGCTGTTAAGTGAGCACTGTTGTTGATTTTTATCGCAATTCCTTTGATGTCCCCGAGATCACCTCGATGAGGGTGTTTTGACATCCTGGGTATGCTAGCTGTGTAGGGATGGACTCATCCGATATCCATGAGGAAGATCCTGCTCTTTTTGGGTCCAACATGTGGACTGTTCCTTGTCTGGTGCTTTGATAGCCGCCTACGGAATGCAAAGCATTCTTTGTTTGCCGAGCATTCTGATGCAGTGTCCATGTACCTTCAGAGTTGGTTTTGTTATGGGGTGTAGGACAGCTTCTCTGACTGATGGTTATATCCCACCCCATTCTGGTGGGCGCATACTATGTACATAGATTTCTGCGCCACCTCCCCCAATTTAATTAGTGCATGCCAACACGGCTGCTTCCAGCCCGGATTCTTAGCCCTGAAAGTGAAAGTGATTGACTATGTATGCATGCATACATACATACATACATACATACCTACATCTATACATATCTATGTATATATATATATATATGTGCATATATATATATATATATGTACAGACATTCAGATGTATACAACAATTTTTATGTGTAACTGTATCTGTTCATGCAACTAGACAAGTAGATATGCAACATCGACATAGGGATAGATACAGACATGTTTTTTGCCAGCCTTCTGGCGGGGCACACTAGCGACGCTCACCTCGCTTTCCAGCCTCACGAGCTGAGTCGCGAAGAAGGAGGATGGTGGCTAGCCGGGGCCACGACCGCCGGTGTGTCTCCTGGTTGTGTGCGTGCTGGGCCTCGCAGGAAGAGATGGCACAGCCTTCACAGCTCGCAGGCGACTCTTTGCTCGGAAAAGAGGAACTGGGGAGCGGTCCACTGCTCGCTGCTGCACGTGATGCAGGGCTCGGCCCAGGCCAAGATTGCAGCTATGGTGCAGGATCCTTCCATCGCTTTCTCAGAACATACAAGACCCTGGACGTCGCCGTGAAAGCAGAGGCTCCCTGCCTCCGCACGGAGTAGGGGAACAGGAATCGGCAAGCTCCTCGAAGCGCAGTCGTTCTGCTTGAAGCTCCGTTTTCACAACGCCCCCTCCCCCGCTCTCCTGCCAGTTTCGCGCACCAAGCTGGCACAGAACCTGCGCTTCAAGGACTTGGCCGACAAGATACGATGTTGCAAGAGGTACAGCCCCGTCGCCCATTGTCATCCAAATTCTGTGCAGCTTCGGACAGCCATTTTGCGGCTCACTGCCTCCTTTCGAAGGCTTAATCGATTGCACAGGGCATGGTAAGAAAGCACTCTTTCCACCTTGCGTCTGGAACCTCAAACGATGATCAAAGACTTCTGTGACCATCCATATGCAGCTTTGTGCGTGTTGAATGTGTCCTTGAAGCTGTCCAGGAGGAGCGTGTGGTACAAGTCAATCTCGCTCTGTTTGGGCTGGCTCCTGATGACAGTTTCAGCAAAGACGGTCCTAGGTGAGTGCGGTTTGCAGGCATGATGTTCTTAAGAACAGACAAAGCATAGTGCTTGCCGTGCTGCGTCTGCGGGCATTCCACCGGTTGGCCAGCTGCCATTACCACGGGGATGCGCCGGGCAGGGCCCATCGGCCAGCCCCAACGACCGACAAAGGGCACCTCTCTGCAGGGACCGGAACCCTTCCACACGTTCGAGTTTACAAGGCTGAGGGGAGCACTAGCGATACATCCAAGGCGATGGAGATGCGCTCCAAGATGCGGAAGGGATCCTCAGATCATGTTCGGTATTCGGCCTGCATGACCTCGAATTTCTGCTGCTAGCCGAGGAGCCAGGATTGGGCTGAGAAGCGATGTGTGACCAAAGCCGTAAACGGGCACGAGGGAAGCACCAGTCTCCAGGGCCATCTTGACGATACCCTTGCGCTGTAGAAGCCACGCGGCTTCCTGCTTCTCGGCTCTCGGCTGGAAGATGCCGGCAACTCCATCCAGAACCACCCCAACATTCTCAGAACCACCCGCCAATGTGTTTCGAATGTGCTGTGCCTTAGCCGGCATGACGCCGGCTCGTTTCAGGTACCATCGGATGAAGGGCAGCTTGAACAAAATCGGGGCGGCCACCCAGTTGCATCGAGTACCACCAAGCTTGTCGATCATGGCGTAATCGATGCCAAAGGGCAGAACGCCGTGGGGAACGATGCAAAAGATCCTTGGCAATCAGCCGACCCTAGCGGCATTGAACGGGTTCGGAGGCTGACTTCTCTTTTCCCTTCTATCCCAAAAACCTCGGGGGTGGGAGGGGGGAGGGATGAAATCTGCAGTCGAGGGAGGCGGAAGGTACCAGACCTCCTACAGACCCCGAGAATCCGCTGACTGCTGTTTTCTTTGCTGCGGGCAGCACGTCCCTGAAGGCTCTTAAAATTACAGAAGCAAGCTCTGAAGAATGTGCTGGGAGCTCAATTTTGGAGTGGCCTTCCTATGAAGTGGACGTTCTGAAAAGGTGCACCTATAACCTGGCTGAAAAGTGTTATTGAACTGCCGCACTGAGCTCAGTGGACCCTTGACCTTCTTCGTCGTCGGATGTAGCTCAGATGGCCACACATACTTCATGTGCAAGTAGCTGTGCTGGTGCCTGCAACTGTCAAGGCGGGTCTATCAGATCTGCCGACTGTGTGTGGTCGCATGCAAGATGGACAAGAGCCCGGGATGCCTGTATGGAAAATCATAGCGTGCGTCCCTGGATCTTTTAAAGATCCGACAGAGCATAGCCCACGAAGCAAAGGGAAACAAGGTGTAAAGGATCAGCAGTCGCGCGCAGCGAGGCCAACCACGCGCATAAGCCAGCAGCGATAGCACCAGCCAAACACCGGCCGCGCCGCTGATATTGATGTACAGGAGCCTGAACCAACACTCATGGAGTTTCTTGGGTCATACTGAGAGGCTGTCGAAGTTTCAGGAAAAGTTTCTGCAGCTTCCAAGCGGCGTGCCACAAATTCTCTCGAAGTGCGCCAATCGCGACAAGGGTGGAGCCGAACGTGCACGCAGAGAGCCAGTGGGGAAACCATCCGGGCCAGCGGTCTGGCAGTGCTCGCACCACTCCTCATCACAGGGAACAGCATGTTCCTGGATCCTTCTCGCCCTCGGTTGAATGAGAAGTCAAAACTTGATGACGTCAAGGCACCGAGAATGGCACCTCTGGTCTGAAGAGGCCCTCTAGCTTGGCCAAGTCCAGCCGATAGTACTTGGGGCTTCCCATTCCTAGGATGCCTGCTACAGTAGAGGTCTTGAAGTGGCAATACGCGGACTACTTCTCTTACGTGCATCTCTCACATGCATCCCCATGCGTTTGCACATCAAGTCGTCTGCTCTCAATGACAAGCAAATCGGGCAGAAATCGCTGCGGCTGGAATGGGCAACGGTACTTATCAGGGCATCACAAAGCAATACCACGAGCACACACGGTTTGACGATCTGCCCTCGGGTGGCAGCAGATATTGCGGCATCAAGTGCGGGCAACATAGGTAGCCGGTTTCAAACGATTGACGCAGATGCGATTTTCCGAGGCTCTAGCTACTAACTATTTCAGTCATCCACAAAAACGCAGAAGAACGGGCACGAATCGATTACTTAACGCTGTCTCAACGATTCCTCGCTACGCTTGCGTCACTGCAAGTGCAAGCTGTGAGCGTGTCGCAGAATGGGTCACAAGACATGCAAGCTTGATTGTAATCCTCGCACCCGAACAACCGCTGCAAGAGAAATCAGCTCGATGTCAGGTTCATGGGGCCGTCAGACCGGTTGCAACAGTACACCGCAAAACGACAGCCAACAGCTGCGAAGAACGTATCGTTTGATAGAGCCTTTCCGAGCACCAAGCTGCCTCTGATGCACAGCAGCTGGCGTTTACTTATCGTGTTAGCAGCACGTGATCCAACCCTGCGTGGAGCCTGTGCAAACAGCGAGGGGATCGGAGAGCTGCCGCAGCAAAGCGGACCTGGTGATGTGGATATCACAGGTCATAAACACCTAAGTCGCACCCGGCTGCGCGTATGTGCACACTTCGCCTTTTTCACTTCGGAACTTATCGTCTACACACCTTCTGTCATGGCAACTGCTCTGCATCCGTCCGTTTGGGAAGCCCCGAACATGTCTTTCTTGCCGTTCAGGCCTCCGGAAATCCGACGGCTTGCTGGGTGAGTGCCCCTCATCTCAAAGCGAACATCATGACAGGGAGAAGGTTCATGGGCCAGTCCTTCTGCGTCTCCTCTGCGACAAGCTTCAGGCCTGCTTGGGCGAAAAGATCCCTCATGCACCTGCCAGATCGCGTGATGGACGCATCCCGCTGGTCCACCAGCCTCAAAGTTTCGTAAGGAAAGCTCGCCCAACTGCAAAAGAAACTTCTAGCATTCTAGCTCAAGCCCTCTACAAACTCTTCCTGCTACAACTGCTACGCGACACTGAAACAGGCAGGTCACCCTGGAGAATTGTTCAGCAAGCAGTTCTCCTTGACGACGAGGAAGCCACAGGGGCTGAGGGAACGTCGAAGACGCTGCAGGGTTTCGACAATGTCAGCATCCGTCAAGTACAGCAGGACCCACTGCACCCAAATGAGGTCGTAGCGATCAGGGAGTTCGCCCGTGTCTTGAAGCGACAGTTCCAGGAAGTGGCGAGCTGAACCATAGCTCTTGTTGGAATGGCCTCCTAGGCGACTTCGTGCTTCCTCCAAGAGTTGCGGACAGGGTTCAAGCAAGTCGACGACGGCGCACCGGCGGAGGAGCAAACCTTCGGTGATTCGGCCGATGCCTGCACCACACTCCAGAGCCGTATCAAAGTTCTTGGTCTGCAACATATTCAGGAAAGCTGCTGAACCTTCCAGATCAAGATGCGAAGTCTCAGGATGACCGCCAAGAACGCCAAAGCAGGATGCCTCCTGCTGGGACCAGTACTCCAAAGAGCGGGAGTACCACTCCTCCTTCCCTTCTACTTGCCAAGGCTGGTAAGGTTGCAGTCTCGTCGTTTGCTGTGGCTCTGGCTGTGTCGCTGGCTGCACACTCACCATGTAAAGCCTGTGCCTCTCCTCAATCGGGGGGACTTGCAGCTCCTCTGGTGGGGTTAAAACCCACATACGCATCTGTGCCGTCACGTCAGTGACAGCGAGCCCATGACGTTGGCCTTCTTCTTGAATTGCCACTGTCAGGTCCACTCCACAAGGTCGCAGCTCAACAGCGACCAAGATGGTTGGGATCGACTTCTCGAGATCTTCGGAAGTGCGCAGCAACTTTGTAGCAGCATGAAAGAAGGGCGAAACCAATCGATGTTCGTAGAGCACATCCGACGCTATGACAAAGTCGAACCTATCGAATCGCTCCAGCACTGCCTCGACATCTGCCGTGTTGGCAAAGTCTACGCGCAAAACATGCGGTCGGGGCGCACCCGCCCGCCGGGCATATTCGGCTACATTCCGCTGAAGCAGCGGCAACACTCTTGCATCACCGTCTGAAAGCACGACTATGGCTCCATGTGCAGCAGCAACAAGGCCGCAAAGACCGCTGCCACTTCCAAGCTCCAGAAAGCGTGTGCGCAGTTGTTCAGGGTTATAGGCATACAGCCGCCGGATGTATGCTGCAACCAGCAAGGAACAAGGCCACAAACGGGCTCCGACTGCACCACGGCTGCTAAAACCTTCGTAAGGCATTGCCTGCAGTTGCAGATTTCCTTCTGGTGCTGCCATGGGCAAAATGACATCCCAAGAGCTTCCACCGAGATTTCTGAGGTCACCGTGCTTCCATTCGCGAGTGAGTCGCAGCGTCACCTGGCCCTTCCTAAAGCGTGCCAGTGTTCCGGAATTGTCCACGACCCGGCCCACAAAAACCTCTGCCCCTTCCGGTGATATTTCAACCTCAAATGTCCCGATTCCTACGAGGATCCTTCGTGCATGACATCTCGCTGAATCATATTGCACAGCAGGGGAGCACACAAGAATGCTCTCGCTGCCTAGCAACAGCTCAAAGCTGTCTGAATTCTCTGCCCAGGGAAGGGTAATCGAGACTTGTATCGGTTGCACCTGCGAGTGCAACCCCATTCAGAACTTCAGTCCAGCTGGTAACAACCCATCGCAACGAACCGAACCACCTAGCTAGCGAGCAGATCGAATTGTCAGGACTTGAAGAGATGTGCCGCGGCTGTCAAACTCACGAAATCCTTCCTTCCAACACCCTCCAATGCCAACCCTCCGTTGACCAATGTACGACGGAGACACATTCTCGGTCCGAAAACGATGCACATGAAGCCATCTAGGCTGCTGATATCATCAGAGCATCTCTTGTGGCCTGCATCTTCTGTAGCGCTGGAATTGGTGCTTGAGATCCGTCCAGAGTTCGAGAATGGGGAAGTTAAGATCCCTGACTGCATTCCTGACATCTACAAAGGTCTTGTCGTGGCTTTATACACACACTGGTTGGAGTGTGTATAGTGTGTGCTTTGACACTTTCGAGCTTCAATGAATGCAGAAGATGCAGTTTGCGCAGCTAAGGTGCCGGCGTGAGAGTGTTGCAGTGGAAATCCTCAGACGCAGATCCCATGTTGACCTGGCACTGAGGATTTCGCAAGGGCACGAGACTCCGAGACTATCCGAGACACCGACACCCGAAGTCGCAGCATCGTAGAGGCTGATGTTGTGAAAGGCAGAGAGCAGCTGCAGCATTGTGACGGTCTGGCCCGGGAAAAAGGGAGCTGCGCTTCCCAATTTCTGCGGCTTTTTGGGCGAACCTCCGTTTCCTGTGCAAAGCTCGGGGCCTTGGCTAGGTCAGAGGCATTTCTCACACCCATAGGGTTTAGGGTTTAGGGTTTCGTTTTCACATGAAGTGAACTGAACTTTCACCTGTCATGGACGGCTGGGTCAGCAGCTTTGTTGGCTTCGCCACCTCACATTTTGCACAAATCGTTTTTGTCAGTCCTTCCCACACTCCGACGCCCCACGTGCTACGCTACCCAAGCTACAGCTACAAGCTCAGCGGCCCGCCTGCATCACAGATTCCGGCCACACTCGGTGCCACACGAGTATGGCATTGCACCTCGTTCTTGCAGTGTTCAAGCTTGCCCTTTTGTCACCACGGCCGAACTCAAACATAGCACCAAGCAGCAACAGCCACGAAGTAAGGTTGCTTGGATGTTCATTGACAAGATTCTGGGCATCTCAAGGACAAACTAAACTAGCTGCTCCCTTTCCCCTCTGCACAGAATGTATCCGTGGTTCGAGTTTTCAGGTGATCCGAACACGTCAATAGAGTCTTCCTTCGTTTGCCCATGTCAGCTGCGAGCATATCAAAAGCGTACGATTGATCCGCCAGCCCAGGGAAGTAAAGAAAAGCCACACCACAGCCAGGCATTTGCGATGCTGAACTACAGTGAAGTGCTTCTTCATGGTTGAAGCTCTGGTTGTGCTCTTTCGCATTTGCGGGACCCTACCTGCGCGAACCGACGCTGCCCGAGAACAATAGAAATAGCCGCGAGAGAACAGAGAATGAATGTTGTCAATCGTGTGGCACAAATATTGGAAAGAAGCTGCCCAAGCTTCCATGGTTGCCCTCACAGCCTGCTACCTGACTAGCTTTCGCAATGCCAAGCACTTCACTAGGCAGTCCATCTCGTTCGGGACAATCATCACTGGCGGATCCACTTGCTGCTCCTTTGGATAGCATCGGGAAGCAATGCGAACCGCGGTGCTGCCACGTCTGCGACTCAAACTGCGCACCTCTGGTTTCGAGGCCTCGCCCCCCTCACGTGGTGATGTTGGATCCGGCACCAGCTCGAAGGTCATGTGGTGCACCTGGGCTTCGTAGCACTACTGGTAGGAGCAGTCAAATCACTACAGTACCTGGGCGACTGACTTTGCCCCAAATGGAGCCACAAAAGAAGTGTCGAGAAGCCTGCGCAAGGGTTGAGACCGAGCTTACCTTGAGTTGTCCAGGCAAGAATATGCAGCCATTCTCGGATGCTGGCGTTGGCTTTGCCAGGCGAACCTGCGGCGCGTTCCAGATGATTTCGCAATTCCTTCTTGTCGGAGTGCCTTCGCCATCTGAGCCAGAGCTTTCCTGCGGACGGGCACGAGAGAAGGTGGTCTCCAGGCCAGCGACTGCTGCCTCCATGGAGGCCAAGAAGCGGCCGCCGACAGAGCGCCTCCGCTAAGGAATCGCGCCACCCGTGCTCTCAGCTCTCACTTTCGGTGCTTCTGCCACATTTGACACCAAGTGCACCTTGACTGTCTTCGACGTGCTGTCTTGCCCAGCTCCTGACGACTTGTGCATTTGTGGGTCCGCAGGCCCGCTCGGCATATCCTTCTGCGCACGGTCCAGATCGAGCCAGGAATGCCAAACGAAGCACAACGCAATATCCAAAGCGGTCACGGCTTCCAGAATGGAGCATGCGAAGTTCGAGGACGCTGACATGGAGGCCTCAAGGACTGGTGACGCCTTTTTGGGGTTGTTGACCAGCACCTGCACCACCTGAGATTGACAAGCCAGTTGCCGAAGCCTGTGCATTTCATGTGGCAGCGAGGCCCGGACGCTTTCTTTGGCAGTGAGCTGGTGGCCGTTGTAGAAGATGCGAACCTGGACAAGGGTACAATATGCGAGCGTGGCAGCAGAAACTTTATCCAGGAGCCGGCTGTCTGCTTCCGTCGCCTGATTCAACATCGCATCGAGTCTGCGGCTTTCGGCACTGTGCAGGCACGGCAAGAGCATGCCGAGGGCAAAGCTCTGTTGAAGCTGGTGCCTGAGCCTGAGGGCATGGACGATGCTGCAGAAATAGAATCACCAAGACAAGCTCGTCGAAGTCATCGAGCATGAGAATGGGTACATGCGGCACTGCAGCGAATTCCCTGATTCGCACATTTTGACTGAGCATTCAGCATTCGACGAGGGCGTGTCGCCTCCCTTGGCACAGGCTGAACTGGACACTACAACCACGGGACTTTCTGCAAGTGTGCATCTTTCGGTGCATGTCCGAAGAAGGACAAGAATCGAGACAGTTGCCGGCCTGCGAGGAGCTTTGGCCCAGAGGAGGAGGCGCCGCGGGTGCATCCAAAGGTACTGCGGGCGGCGACGCTGCACCAGGCTCCACGGCCTGCAAGAGATGAGATCGAAGCCTCTGAGAATCAGATTGCTTCTGAGGGTCCGGGCAGATTTCGCAGCATCTCCAAGCTCGCCTCCCTTGGCTCTTGCCTGAAACAGACCCGACAGCTGGTCTGCAGTCACTGAGATTCTCGGTTCTTTCCTTTTATCACCTCTTTTCGTCCCTACAGCAAGCCGACGGCAAGAATGCCATAACCCGAAACTCGGTTCACGGCTCTGGATGTTGCTTGTCCAGGAGGTGGCTGCTTGGTCGTCCTGGGTGAGCAGAGCGTCCATCCCCGCAGCATCGCAGACTTGCACCACACGGACTGAGAAACAAACAGTCGGACTCGTGCTGCTGGCTCGCTGTTTGTGCCAGTCTCCGCACCTTCGTTTTAAGACAAGGATCGAAAACAAGTCGTAAGAAAGCAGCACAGATGTCGGCTTGCGATCTCTGACATATTCTGACATGAATCCTGTTGGTCCTGCCTTCAGCGGCTGCAGGCTTTCCTGATCCATGCCTGCCCAAGCTGGGTTTCACAGTTCATGCACGCCTCCGTGAGGCGTGCAGGCGATATGTAGCTAACTAGTGGCGTCGGCATGAGGGGCCTGTCCCATATGTAGTCCTCCAGGGCTGAGACCTGCGACCGGGCAGAGTTCTGAGAGCCTCTTAGAGAGGTCCTTCCGGATGCATCCTGCGTAAACCAGTTTAAACGTCTGCCTGGGCAAAGGGCTCCACGAGCAGCACGGTCTCCAGCGCCTGGACCCAAGCAAAAGTCTAAGCACCGGGGAGGTTTGCTATGATCCACGCGCATTCCCCGAACCGCAAACGAACCCCAGGGCCCTCCGAGCTTGCAAGCACACGGTCGAAACCACCTCGAACTCGCGCTCTCGGGCGGATCGGCTGCCCGATCCCTCCTCAGCGTGGCCAAGAAACCAGAACTCGCCCAGAAGCTTCCGCGACCTGGGATGCCGACGCCTGTGGAGGCCCGTGCGACGGGGCCTGTGTTTTTGGACAAGACTCATGCAGAGAATCCCAAGTGTGCGGATTGCTGCGATTTGGCCTCCATCCTCGGTATCACCTAGGCACGGCACAAGTTCGCCATGAGCCCAACATCCTGAAGAGTCTCGGGGAGCAACCTCCAGGACCTCCGGACCTGATGCGGCGAGCGTTTCAGCAACGGTTATGAAACATTCCACATCATGGCCATTGCGTGTATGCTTGGGCGGCCAGCTTCGCTTCAGAGCGAAAGACTCCACCACCTCGGCTGCATTGCTTCATGCACAGTTTTGGGGGATCCAACGTGCTCCAACAAACAGAGAACCAGGATCAACTAGCACAACGTGAATCACGGATATTACGATCATGCTGGAGCTGCTGAGGTGAGGGCTGACGACACCGCCGCCACGTTTCCGTGTGACCTCGCAGGTGAAGGCAACAAAGACGCAGGAAGGGAACTGACAGTTGTCCCATAGGCATACCTTCGAGGCCAAGTAGTTCCGCAAGCGTGCCTCAGATCCCAACAAGGCCTCGAAAGCTCGGAGATGCTGCCGGTCCGGAAGGATGCTCAGCGCCAGACTGCAGGGGATGCCGCGGACACGCCCACACCTGGCCCCTGACATTTGTGTCGCCATGCTGCGTTCAAAAGAAAGGGATAGGGCAACAGTCTGGGAGCGGCGCCGATCGGCCAGCTGGCACTCTGCCAGGCCTCGGACTCTCATGAAGGCATTTTTGAAGTCAGACGAAGGCCTCGGGCTGCATTTCGCGGTGCATGTCGCACTCAGGAGCCAACCCTCCACCGAGCGCGCTCGCCTTCGCCACCGCCTTTCAGGGGTTTCTGAGCTCCTTATAAGTCGCGGGCCTCAAGCGGGAGCGCCCGGGCCTTGTTTCTGCCCTCTGCTCCGCCTTCGGAGAGGCCTGGCTGGGGGACACTGCAAGAAACCACTCTGAATCGACATGCCGAGGGGAGGGGAGGCAGGAATGTCTCTGTGGATTCGGCCTCCGAAGGGCACCAGCAAGGACTTGAAGTTGGGAAGCGACCTTGGAGTCGGGACAGGCGACATGCAGTTATCGGTTTGGCTGCATCGATTGCATGTTGTCCGTGCCAGCTCTGAACTCTGCAATAAGCGACCCGTCGCAAACATCCTGGATCTGCCGACTCCATCTGTACCAAGGTTTGCTGAAAACTGGCGCGCTCTGAGGCTTACTGCAGAAGGAATCGTGGAGTCCATGCTTTCAGCCCTAAACCCTGCACCCAATTTGGGCTACGAGTAGGTCCGGGTTGAGACAAGCGACGCACTCAGCGGCGACACACCGGAGCTGGAGCCCCGCGGGCTCATCCGAATCTGGCGTACAAGTTCTCTTTGGACTCTCAGACTCACGTCGGCCATCCTCACTTTGGGAACAGGCAGTCGTGCTGGGATAGGGTACTTGCAGGCACCACCGGAGCTGACTGCGGACGAGGATTGAGAAAGGCTTCCCTTGAAATTTACCTCCCGAATATCTGCTCAACTCCAGCATCCCAACTGTTCATGGTACACCAACATCGTTGCAGAAAGCCATGGTCGAAACTTCTTTGTATGGACAGAACACACGGAGACGTTCCTTGGTCTCTGTGGAGGGCGCTAACATGACAAAGCAGCAGTCTTTGCTGACTTGACTCGGCATGCAAACTATGTAAGCTTTCCGCAAGTGGAAGCCATGCCAACAACCCGGAGCATCGCCCGACAACAGATTGCACAAATTCAAACACACCGAAAGTGAGGAGACTTGAAGCGAACAGGGCCTGTGGTGATGTGAGCTCAGAACTGATCGTGAGAGCTTTGAGACCAGCGCAGATGCCGCTGGGTCTTGACGGCCCGGAAGTTGTTGATCCGCTCGATGGCTTCCAGCATCTAGAGGACAGATCAGGGCTTGGGAGATCTTGAAGGCATGCAGTAATGAGTAGTACTAGGTGAGTCTTTCCAGATGGGATCTGACCCTGAAACGCGAACCCAACACCAAACAGCACTCGATTGCCTCGCTTGGCAGACTTACGACTGTCTTTAAGGACAAGGCTTCGGTAATCTAGCTGGCAATGTTGCCAGCACATGACGAAAACCCTGAAAGCACTCGCTCTGAATTCCCATCTCCAGACTCCTGCATCTCGAGGCGGGCTTCGAGGCTGGCCAACGAGTTTGCCACTTCCGGAACCTCAGGAAAACGTGAGACAGTTATGCGAAAGGTGTTGCTTGGGAACCGCCTTCTGATCCCTTCCCCCGCCTGCATCCCGGCCCCAATCAGAACCTCGGCCACTGCCGAGTCCTCATCTGTCTGTGCATTCACAGGCACGAGGCCAACCTTGCGTGAGCAGCGCCAAAACTCTAAAAAGAAAAAGCTATTCTGGGCGCAAGGCTTCGCACAGACATGCTTCTGTTCTACATGCCGTGCTGGTCCAGCCAAGGCGCCTGGTGTTTCAGCCTCAGGGCAGTGAGCAGCTGGATCTGCACCTGCTCTGCCGCACGAGAGCTGCATCGTGCTGAGCTGTTGGGTCTGAAGCTTTCTGAGATCACCTTGCCTGCTCCAGGACTGCGTGGATCTTGTTCATGGGTGTGTAGATGCTGTGGCAGCAGGCATCCAGACTCTCCATGGCGAGCTCCAGCAGCCGCTTCGAGGTGATTTGAATCTCTCCAGAGATCCTCTCCTGCACCTGCCAAAACTCTACAGTTCTTTAGGTCTGGGGCCCGGGGTGCCCAGAAGGGGGAACGGCGGGAGCCTTCAGAAGGGTCTTCTGCCTGAAGGGCTCGTTGAGCATCTCGAAGCCCTCGAAGAACTCCACGATGGTTACAGAGCCGCTCTTGTCTGTGTCAATCCACTGCCACATGTCCTCCAGGTCCTGGATTTTGATGTCCGTGTTGTCAGACAGCAGCAACAGCACCTCCTTGGACCGGAGAAGTGCTTGAAATTCCTCGTAGCTCAGCTCTCCGTTCCCATCCTCGTCCAGGGCCAGGAAAATGTCCTCAAGCACTTGCTTCACAAAGACTCTCTTCTCTTCCTCTCGTAGTTCGTCTTCCTGCACCATGCGCGCTTTGAAGGAAATCATCGTGAAACTCACGGTTCCTGTCATCACGGCAACAATTACCCAGCCAGAATAGATGTAGAACAAAGTAAAACCCACACAGGTTGCAGGAGAAGCTTTCAGGAGAGGGAAGAGAGGTACCAGACTCCACTGGCTGGTCAGCTGAAACAGATAAAACATGCTGTTGCCCACGTTCGCGAACATATCCTGCACCTCCTGGACGTCTGGGTCCGAACTCCGCTCGTGGTGCCCTATCATACGCGTCAGTACGACAGCAAGGGCGTAGACGAAGATAAAGAGGAACATCAGCACCCAGAAGAGGCCCTGTAGAGCATCCAGCACGCCCAAAGTTAGCTCACGCAACGACGGTATCATGCTAATGACACGCAGGAACCGGATGAGCCAAACCATTCGCGAGAAGTGCAGACTCGGACCCAGCACCACCGGAAAGATCCAAATTTCGCAACAGGACACCAAGACTGCAATGGTATCCAGAAAGAGGATCGTCTTGTCTTCAGGCTTCTTGTACGGTGCTCCTTGGTAGTGGTTGCAGATGTGCATTGCGATCTCGATCAAGCTTATCGCCAGAATGAAGTGAACAAGCTCTGCTCCCCACTTTGGCAGTCGATCTGTGTCGTGATGACCGACCACCAGCACAAAGACAATGATGCATGTGGCCATAAACTTGCCACAAAGATCGCTCTGGATAAAGCTGAACGTCGCAATACTTTCGTCATCGATTCCAAGCAGGTCCTTCCAGTACTCCTCGGATCGCAGGTGAGCCTGGGACAGGAAGCCCGGTGCGGCGGATGACAGGTCCGGCAGGTGACCCTCCATGTCCCAGCCTAAATCCATCTGGGCTGTCCGAACTTCGCTTACGTGCTGCTTCCGATCCACCCAGGAAACTGGGCGTGACCTCGGAGGTCTTATGGACGTGACCGGGCGCAGTTGCTTCAAGCTGCTGCCTCTGGGAAGCTCGGGTACATCTTTCTTGGCTGTGGGAGATACCCCGCCAGAATTTATTGTCAGCGATCGCCGTGCCATCTCAGCTGAAGGAATCAGGTCACGGACCGCCCGTGCAGACTGCATCTTCATGCCAAGTCCTCGGGACGAGCTCCCTTGCACAGGCGAGGAGACATTCCGTCGGATGTCCAAAGATCCCAAAGACTTTGTGGTCATGCGGCTGGATTTGAACTTGGACTTCAGATTCACGGAGGAACTCCCTTCCGAGGGAGGCTGATGTGGGTTAGTTGCATGGTCCAGGAGTCCGGGTAACGACTCACGCGAATGTGAGCCCGGATCTGAGAACCGCACCATGGACGAATAAACTCCGTAGCCCTCGTAGGCCTCATCGCTCAGAGGGCTCACCGGTACGCGGACTTCCGTGTTTGGCACATCCTCGGTATCAGAGAGATCCATCTGAAAGGAGTCCAGCCGGTGAGCCGGAGGTCCTGGCGATTCCTCTTCCAGCTCGGGAGGGTGCACTTCCAAGGGTCTCTGTAATGTTTCATCTGCATCACGAGTTCCAGCCAAGCTATCCTCGGCAGGTCGTGGCGATTCCTCACTTTCTATGGAGGCATGGCCTGCCCATTGTGGCTCATCGGGCTGCCCTGGCAAGGTTTCGCTCGCCTCTTCCACTTCGTGCACTCCGTGCGCTTCCAGGGGAGCCGATGACGGCTCAGCGTCGGCCGAGTCCTCTTTGTCGGCCGGCTCCTGCTCGGACTGCCAAGTGCCTGCAGGTGGGCTTGCCGGGGCAGGGAGCTCTTTCTCGCTTGTGGCCACTTCCTGGCCAAGTTCCTGCGATGCATCTTTGGAAGCCTTGGAGAGCGAAACGCTTGAGCTCTGGCGGCTTCTGGAGCTCGCTTGCGACGACCGGGCAGAAGGCATTTAGCGCAGGCAGCACAGAGAGTTCCACCATTCCGGCCCAGTTGGCAAGACAGCAGACTCAGACCATGGCACCATGCTGGCAACTGTTCAACTGTTTGTGATAATCCTCACAATCTAATCCAGGATAATTATGGGGTCCATGCATGTCGGTGCTCTGCATACTTCACTCGGATTGGGGAGCAAGCTGAAGACAGACTTCATTGATGCCTTGCTCCATCTGCTATGCTTTGGATATCCGTATGGCACAGCGCAAGCACTTGAAAAGCACACTCTCCTGGCCCAGCCCAGGTGTACTTTCGAAAGCAGGCCCAAGCCCCAGGGGACTAGGCCAAACCTGTGCGGGATCCCACAAACCCGGCAGCCTTGACCGGCTTCGCCAACAGCCGAAGCACGGACAGAAGCGGTGACGACATCGAGCCTTCCAGAGCACAGACCGAAGCTTAAGGTTCCTTTAACGCGCCTCACTGCGAGCGTTCGCCAACATGGCGCCTATCCCGGATCGGGAGCTGGACAGTCTCCTTGGCTTGAAGCTTACGACTTAAGAGTTATGAAAGGGCAGGGGCTGGCGCTCGAAATGCAGCAAAGCTGGGCACCCGACAAGCTGTCCATCGGGTCCACTCGCCGACTCCGAGCATCCGCCGCCCTTGCTGTTTCAGGGTTGCAACCGCAGCAGCAGCAGCAGCAGCAGCAGCAGCAGCAGCAGCAGCAGCAGCAACATTGCAAACACACCTCAAAGCAAGAGCAACACGTGCCTCACACCCACAGGACGAGAGAGAGAGAGAGAGAGAGAGATTGCAAGACATCTTCACTGTCGCTCAGAAAAAGGTAGCCTCAGGAGAGCCTCCCATCACTTCGTCTCTTCTCTCGGCTGCTTTTCAAGGCACGCGACTAGAGGTCACAACCCTACAGCAGACACACAAAGATCAGTGGGCCATACTCCTGGCTCAACAGCAGGGTTTTTGCTGTTCTGCACGTGATGATTATTCCGCAACGCGGCCTTCTGATCTGTTGCAGGGCGGTTCTGGTCTCCAGAGTCTGGTCAAGGAAGAAGTGAACCGTGCAAATTTCAGCCTGTTTCACAGTATGGATCCTGGCGACCGAAACGGGAGCCCACACTGCGCCGGCGGTCAGCTCCCCGTCACTCACTCGTTCATGCCGTCGCTGTGGCAGCTGCCTCATAGCCTTCCCAGTGTCCCGTCTTCGGATCCTGAGGCCAATGCTAAGAGCGAGTTTTTTGAAACACAGACTGGGGTGTGCCCTCATCGTGTCACGTCTGTAAACTGAGGCATTGTCGTACTCGCACTCCACCAGTCGGCCATCCTCGAGCTGTCAAGGTCGTTCAAGGTCACGGATTGACTGAATTGCGCGTGCCTCGTACTTCAACATGTCAAACTTGCCCGAGCGGAGGTAATGAGAAGCAGTATAGGAACCATCTGCCGACCTCGTTAGTCCCGGCAAACACTCATGCGCCGGGCTGCTTGCTCGCTTGGCGTGCTGGGTCTCTCATGCGCGATGGTGCTGACAAGGGGCAGTTTGTAGGATCTAAGCTCCGATGGCTTGCCTCCATCGATGGAGCCATCCTGAGGCCCATGCCCTGTTGTCCCACAAAGGGGAAGTGTTCGTAAGTCGTTCCGAGGGGCTGGTTTGATCTTCGGATTGTTGGAAAAGGCTTTCGCCTCAACACCCCCATTTTTCTCCAACACCTTCCAAGATGGATACTGCAGTGACATGGAGACGACTCGTACAGCTGCGCGGGCGCCCGCGACCTGCTTCACTTTCCGGAAGGGCTCAATGTCTGGTCGGACGGCCAGGCAGGTGTCATCCAGTCGGTTTACCTCGAAAGCTCTGGCGTGAAGTCGAGGATCTTTGTATGAAGTATCCTGCCTGGTCAAAGTCATTCAACCGCCGATCCCGCTCTTCGTCATAGTTGACTTTAGCCTTGGCACGCGTCGGAGGTCACAACAAAAAAGCAACCAACGGCTATGTTAGGCGGTGCCTTCTTATTTAAGGTGCCTGCCTGCCGGCCGTTGCTAGGCATCCGCCAGCCCAAGACAGAACATGCAAGATCATGCAAGGAAACCGTGCAACCCGTCGTTGACCTTGAACTGGAACTGAACACAGCACCCTCTCACTGCAACCACCGTTGCAGTGACCCACTCCAGCGGCGTCAGAAGGTACTCCGTCGCAACCACGTTGGGCTCCGCACCGGCCTCGAGTTCAACTGCGGCGTTGCAGCACTCTGCCAACCCCTTCCAGCAACACACGCACAGGCCTTGATCAGCTTCTCGACAAAGTCAGCAGAGCCACACATGGTGGCGTTGAAGAGAGGTGTCAGGCCGTCCTACAGGAGGCGCAGAGGGCGATACACACGTCGGGGATCAGTGGGCAGTGCCCTCCTCGTTCTTGTAGTTTACATTGGGCTTCCTCTTCATGGCGCGTTCCAACCTTTGGACGCAACATGCCCCTTGACCGTCATTTGGGCGGCAAGGACATCTGGGGCTGCCGCCGCTTCGGACATTTGCCTTGCGGTGTGTTAGCACATAATCAGCCAGCACCACATGGACAGGCCGCACATGGCCAAAGCTCTCAACTTTTTTGGAAGCCAAGCAGCCCCAGCCGCACACAACAAACAGCTCAAGCTCCGGGGCCATCTTGGCCGACATTTTCACCTTGGCCAGGAAAGAGCGAGTTGGCGCTGAGCCACTCGTGATCAGTGGATACACATCAAAGAACACTGCAGAAACGTCACGGGAGCCGCATCTTTCGGGGCAATAAGCGGCATGGTTGTCCAATCCAGCGCAGCGGCACCCTCAAAACCTCGGCGAACTCCAATCGCCGACAAACAGAGGATCATGTCAGACATGTCAGGACGACGGCGCTGTGGTCCTAAGACCGCAGCCAGAGTTCCGGTGTCTCGTCCCGCCACTGGCGCTTTTGATCCCAAAAGGCGGCAAGGTAAGACGTGAGCAGGGGCCGGGTCTGTTAGGGCGGATGTCAGCACAGCTTCGGGGAGAATTGAGGCAAGAAGTACAAAGCTGAGCCTAGCGCTGAGAAGTTGCCAGTAGCAGGTGCTGGGGCAGATACATGGCCTTGATCGGTGCAACCAGTGCCTGCTCTCGGTGCCCCCGATACTGTCACGTCAGACCGACTCGGACCTCGACCTCCGTACCTCTCGGGCCCCAGCCGGAGACGCTTGCGTCGGAAAGAGGTTCAGCGGGCCCTGCTCCACTCGTTGAAGCACGGAAACGCCTCAGAGAGAGAGGGAGAGAGAGAGAGAGATGCTCAGAAGACTCAGGCTCAGGACCAAGTCCCACCTCTGGAATTCTGGGAACCTGGCAGAGCTTCACCAACTTCTGCAAGGCGCCTTTGCGAAGCGAATAAAGCAAGGATGCGGGCTTCGGAGTCGAGATTCATCCGTATACTGGTCCTACTGAGACCACGTCCTCCCGGTGGCGTGACAATGTGCTCCAGGAAGAGCCTGAGCAGGCTGCTTGCATTGCAGCAAAAGCGAGGCTCGAAAGGATGCGCATTACTCTCGTTGCCTCAGCCGCTCCTTGCAGACATCAGCATCATCACCTTGTATCAGCGAGAACAGGGTATCGGCACCCATGGTTTGACTTTGCAGATGCCGCTTCCCGGGAAAATGGCACTCAGGGAAGAGGTAGGCGGACAATGCACTTGAGACACCTGTCTTCTTCTTGTTGCGACTCGTCTCAGGATCAAGGAAAACATGAGAGGAAGGCCACTGCACGTTAGCTCAAATGCCGTCACGCTCTCTGTGTCCAGGAGCAGACTTCGCAGCTGCTGCAAAGCCTGCAAGAATAGAAGAGCAGCGATTCACGAGACAACACTTCACGACCAGTACCAGGAGTACAGTGCAATGCGTGGCGATGCTTCGCCCGTCACCTCGCCTGCGCTGCAGAGGTCTGCGACTCCAGTTGCTGAGCCTGGTATTCGAGTTCGAACGGACCAAAGACTGTCTCAGGATGTTCTCAGGCCACGACAACTTCCTTGAGTCGATCCAGAACCACCATCTCAATGGCAGTCCGTGAATCCTGGGAGAGTCGACGGCGAATGCAAAGCTCTTGCTGTCACAGAAGCCAACTTCAGGTGCTAAGCACCTTACGAAATGATTCTGAAGCGTGCGCTGTGCCACCTGGACGAAGACAACACCCTGCTCCTTTGCGCATTCCAAGCTCCCCTCAAAGCGGCACGCAAACCAGCCTCCTGGCAAAGTCTGCGCAGCAACTTTCCTGAATGTCAGGACGACTTCATTACCACGGGTGAGGCTGAGGCTGAGGCTGTAAAACATTCTTGGGCGGCTTGCCTACGGATGGTGCTGCAGCAGATGTCCTCAAGAACCGGCCACTACATGCCGCACAATCAGAACACGCTGGGCCAGGCAAACTCAAGATTTTGGCGCTGAGCCGAGCACGCGCCCGCAGCCTCAGCTGTGGCCTCGGCCGGCTCCTCAAGAAGGTTTTTGTTGTCTTCCCTTCCGGTTTTGAGACAGGTACGTTCGTGTCGACGGATGGCAATCTTCATCGAAAGGCTTCGAAACTCTGTCCTGACTTGGCTGCTCGGAGTCGGCAGATGCCTGTGCGTCTCATGCACTCTGTTCAATACCCTCCAAGGAACGAGGACAGCACAACAAGCTGAGTTTTGATAATCGGCAGCCGCACCGCTGACAGCGCCTGATTGCTGATTGCATGACGAACACCCTGCCGAATGAAATGCAGCCTGGGCGGTCAAGGTCGAGCACGTGGAGCGAAAATATCTCGCCTCCTCGCAAATTGGCAGAGGCGCCGCTGAGGCCGGAGCGCGTAGACGTCGTAGTGGTGCCGCAGGGTCTGCTCGCCGATCAACCTGCCAATGCCGCTCTGCATGCTGCGTCGTGCTCTGCATTGCTCTGCGAATTCCCAAGACAGGGCGGCGGTGCAGGCAAGAGAGCGTCACGGAGGTCGATGGTTCGGTTAGAAGCAAGCTGGCCTTAGAGCGCAAGAGCCCAGGACTGGTTCCGAGTTTCCAATGCGTCGGAGCTGCGAGGAAGCTCGCGAGCTGAACCGGCTCTAAGTTCCTCTGCAACCTCGGCTCGCCGAGCCAAGAGTCGGTGGGGCAGAGATGCCTCTGAGTAGAGCGAAGAACAAAAAGAGGTTCGGGGCCCCGGCTCGGGCCTCTCCTGACCTCAAATACAGAGCCACGGAGCAGGTCCCTGCAAGACAAATCTGAGTCACCTGCTGGCTAGAGCAAAGGTGAGAAGCAGGGAGATGCAAACCGACTGCACAGACGGATCCATGGAAGCCTTGCGACATCGTCCGTGGAGCACGGGCTCAAGGAAGCAACCCCAGAAATGCTGGCGAGGGGGAGCCGTGGGCGGGGCCTGGCAGATGTCGATCAACATTGGAAGGAAGGTCTTGCTCAAGGTCTTGGAGGACACACGGCACGGACTACCAAAAAAGGCTGATACTGGAACATGCAGATGCGATCAGATGCTTCAAGGCAGGCACGTCCAGAAATTCGGGATGTTGCCGAAAGACCGTAAGTCGGCGCTCCTTTCCAAGACATCCAAGACCGCTTGCCTTCAACTCACTAGACAAGTGTTCTCGAGCGCAGCCTCGCACACACAGCCAGACTCCGTCAGAAGGATGGATGGCATGACCTCGCGGCGATGAGACGAAGCGCCACTGTTGAAAAACCCTTGCAACGAGCCCTGCGCTTTCCAGTCAGCGCAGTTTCAGCAGATACATACGGAAGACTTTCAAACAGACAGCTCCGGAACTCCAGCTTCTGTCAAGGGCGGTTCACTTCCGCCAAACGAACACGGAACCCAAATGAACCCAACGTAGGAAGGATGTTGTTTCTGACTCCGAGAAGAGACTACATTGACCGTCTGAAGCTGCAAGGCAGTGCGAGGACGCACGAGCCCTGCTTGTCCAAATTTTTGCCGAGCAACTGAGGCCACCAGCGCCAGCACCCGAATCAGCAGGGAGCTGCCCTGAAGGCAAGGCAACATCGACGAAGGCCTACTGTCACAGAACCCAAGAGTGCACCTCTGAACCCAGTGGTTATGCGTTGCATCCAAATTGTGCTGCCCACAGTCCCGTCAAGGCCACGTGGTTCTTGCTTTACTGCCTCGCTCTGTTTCAAGCACCTCCCGACTGGTCTGGCTGGGACACGCGCCGCTTTCAGTTGCAGAAGACGCACAAGAATTCGTGGTAGTACAGCCGACGCTGAAAGTACACAAATCGTACCGGCATCGCCACTGGTCTGGCTGGAAAACTTGCTTTCGTAGTACACTTGGACTGCTCTTTGAGTAGTCTTGACGTGGTCCTCGAGTGACTTTGGTTTTGGAGTGGTCCGAGATCACCATTTCCAATACCTTCCACGGTCGTGGCTCGTCTGTCTCCGCGCTTCATTCACATTTAGCTCCTTGCGGAATGGCTGAGGTTTAGGGTTTCGCTCGCCACCCGCGCCTTATGTGGAAAAGCGTGATTTGGGTCTCGTACATGCTTAACCTGTGCTCGACCCTGCCCTCTCGCTTTGCCTACGACTACCTGCATGCTTGCCGCCGTGTAAACGAGTTGAACTAATTGGACACCTGTGGACTGCCGTGAAGTAGCCCAACACGGCCAAGGCCCAAGGCATTGTATTTTCGCTGCTTGTTGCTGCTCTGCCTGGTGGTTCTGCTGCCGCTGCTGCTCCGGCGTCGGAGCTGCAGCTACAAGATGTGAGTCTTCGGGCGTGTTCTGGAGGCAACGACACCGTTGTAAGTGACATGATCATGCTCAGTAAACATATCTTGCGTCATTCCCTTGGACAGAAACCTCCCTGCAACCGTGAAGATCAACGGTGACCCCACAGACACACGCATCAATTCGTACACCAGCACTGCAGGCCTGAGCAGAGCCCACACGCGTTCCGGCCAAGTCCATGCCTGGCGATGCCACGGAGTGCTGCGTGGACTCACAATCCCAGTGCATGCGCTTGGCACACTTGTGTATAGCCAGCCTAGCACCATCATTCCCAGTAGGCCACAGATATCCTGCCAGACCAGCAGATAGTTTGCAGCGTTCCGGGCTCGACCCATGTGTTTGTCTTGCCGACTTGCAATGTCCTGTTTCAAGACCTCCTCTGTGAAGTTGTGCGAATAATTTGTCAGGACTGAGAGGATGTAGAGCACCTGCAAACAGACATGCTCTCCTGTGCAAACTCTACATGATTTGTGCAGTGACTTCTCTTTGCAGTCGTTTCCTGCATCACAGATCTCCCCAACACCCCCTGTCCACAGTCCCAACATTGCCCGCAATGCAAAGTCCGCTACCTCAGCCACGACTACAGATGTCTGCGGCGTGGAAGAGATGCCGTTCCCCAGGAGCAGCAGCAAGTTGCTCAGCACCTTGAAGTCTTCTGGATTCTGAAGTCTCGTGTCTCCAGCACATACTAAATCACTGTGCGGACAGGAGCCGGCAAGTCTAACACCTCTCTTCAGAGTCGTTTTGATGCGAGGCTGGCACACTGCTGGGAATCATATCCTCCCGGAACACCACATGCCATCTGTCGAACAAGCTGTGGCATGCGAGCCATTGTCACAAATCGGTCCTGCAAACTCGCGGCAAGGGATTCGGTCGAAATTGGTTGCACAACCTCGGGACGAGATGCAAACGGGATGCAAACCCTGGGCAAAGCTTCGGCGCGAGAGCGACTGGCGGCTCCTTCCTGGGCCCCCGGCAGGCGACGGGGGAGGCAGGACGTCCTCCTCATCTTCGTCGTCCTCGTCTTCCTCATCTTCCTGGCGCTCGCTGCAGGCTTGATGCCTTTATCCAGACTCCGCATTGGAACTGGGCAACTCTACTGAAACCTTGCCAGCTGCGAAATCCATTGAGCTTCCTCCGAAATCCTCAAGCTCAAGGCCTGCATCCCCAGCCCATGCCCTAGCATCTTTCCGAGAGCTTGGAGGAAGCCGGTGGGCCATCATACATCACTGTCAAGTTCAGTTGACGATAAGCGACCGACCATGGGCTCAAGATGTGCGAGTTTACCTGCCAGTGCCTCTACTCGGATCCACATGTACTACCTCCGCTTTATGCAGCCACAAGATGACACCCAAACCCCAACACTGTTCCAAGGTTTAGTTTACAAGAAAAGCACCAGACGCCGCCAGACCCCAAAGTAGCTCCAAAGCACTAGTCATTCTCATACTTTGAGATCGTCTTTTCAGCCTCGCCTCGGCAGCATCCCTCTTGGTGCCCTCGGAGCCGAAGCCTTCAGGCCAGGGGTCATGCTGAAGTAGGGCCGCTTTACATGGGCAACTGAAGATTGATCCTGGAGCTCAGTAGACTCAAGGGTTTCCTTGGGTTGGCTTGTACATCTCCACACAGAAGATTTCATCACCAAGCCTTCGGCAGTTATGCAAAGCGCGATCTAACTGCTTGCCAGCACTACAGTTGGTGGGGAATCAGTGCACACCTCATTCGCAGTCCTGGAAGTGGAGACACTAGGGAGCTCGCGCCCTAATGTAACACCAGACCTAATCTTCACGTTACTCGTCGCAATACATACATACCTACCTACCTACCTACCTACCTACCTGCCTGCCTGCGTGCGTGCGTGCGTGCGTGCGTGCGTGCGTGCGTGCGTGCGTGCGTGCTTGCTTGCTTGCTTGCTTGCTTGCTTGCTTGCTTGCTTGCTTGCTTGCTTGCTTGCTTGCTTGCTTGCTTGCTTGCTTG